CGTCCCAGGGATCATCGCCCGCGGGGAGCAGGGGGGTGCCTAGGGCATGCCAGGGGCAAAGGGGGGGCTGTGCCATGCCGGGGCGGGGGCGGCGATGCTCTCACAGGGGAGAGGGGGGGTCGGGTCTCACCCCACCACTGACAGACGCCTCTCCCCACAGCTGGGGGTCGCAGCCCGGAGCCATGGCGCTGCTCACCCACCTCCTCGCCTGCACCTTCGGCATGGGCTCCTGGGTGGCCATCAACGGGCTCTGGGTCGAGCTGCCACTGCTGGTGACGGTGCTGCCGGAGCAGTGGGACCTGCCCTCCTACATCACCATCATCATTCAGATGGCCAACGTGGGGCCGATCTTCATCACCCTCATGCACCGCTTTCGGCCCGGCCTGCTGAAGGAGGTGGCTGTTATCTACGTGGTGGTGTCCGTGGGAGTTTTGGCCTGCTTGCTCCTGGCCTTCCTCTGGGAATACACCTCCCCCATCGCCGGGAGGACCCATAGCACAGCCTTCCTGCTCCTCACCTTCTTCCTGGCCCTGGTGGACTGCACCTCCTCCGTCACCTTCTTGCCCTTTATGATGCAGCTGGAGCCCCAGTACCTGACCACCTTCTTCATTGGCGAAGGTCTCAGCGGGCTGATCCCTGCATTCATTGCCCTGGGCCAGGGCTCCGGCCTCTCCAGCTGTGTCAACCTCACCCGTGTTGTCAACGTCACCATGGGCAACGAGACCGTGGAGACCACCATCTCCCAGCTGGAGACCCGCTACCTCCCAGCCAGATTCTCCCCCCTGCTCTTTTTCCTTCTCATGACTGTGATGATGCTGGCCTGCTTGCTGGCCTTCTTCTTCCTCACCAGGCAGCCCAAGGTGTGGGAGCTCTCCCAGCAGAAGCTGTTTTCCAGCAGCATCATTCTGAGCTCATTTGAACAGATCCTTGACGAGGGAGATAGCTCAAGGCTGAACAGAGGCTGCCAGTGCCCAAAGGATGCCAAAGTGCCTGGGGACATCCTGCCAGAGAAGGTCTCCTACTCCCTGGCTATGCTCACCTTCATCTACCTCCTCATCGCCTGGGTATCTGCTCTGATGAACGGGGTCCTGCCCTCGGTGCAGTCCTACTCCTGCTTGCCCTACGGCAACACCGCCTACCACCTCACGGCCACGCTCAGCTCCATGGCCAACCCCCTCGCCTGCATCGTGGCCATGATCCTGCCCAGCAGGTGGGTAGCAGGGCACTGGGGTGCTCCCTGGGCACGTCTGCCCCAAGATCAGCCCCGGCTTTGCAACGGGGTTGTGGGGAGAAGGCATGGGGTGGGAGAGGCTCCGTGGGGTGCCTGTGCCCTGGCAGCAGAGACACCGGGGAGAGGAGAACGGAGACAGCACGGAGCTGGTCAGCCTGTGCCAGGGGTCTGTGCCCCTCACCAGGGATGGGCTGGCAGCGTGCCCCGGTGTCACGCAGGTCCCTTGCGAGTCTTCGGCCCTGCTGGGCACCACCACCATGGTGGGGACGGGCCAGCAGTGTTCCCTGATGTCACTGCCATGTCCCTTGCAGGTCCCTGACCCTGCTGGGCACCCTCACCGTGGCAGGGACGGGCTTTGGTGCCTACAACATGGCCATCGCGGCGATGAGCCCCTGCCCGCTGCTCCAGAACTCCCCGTGGGGCGATGCCACCATCGTAAGTCACAGGGTCCCTCTCGCCCGGGGAGGCCTCTGGGGCCACCCCTGGCTCCAGCCTCACCGTGGTGCCCCTTGAGCGGGGAGCTCCCTCGGCCCTGCTGACCGCTCTCCCCCCGCGCCAGCAGGTCCTCTCCTGGGTGCTCTTCACCGGGACGCTCTCCTACGTGAAGGTGATGGCCGGGGTGATCCTGAGGAGCCGCAGCCACAGCTCGCTGGTGTGGTACGGGGCGCTGGAGCAGCTGGGCTCCCTGCTGGGGGCCCTGCTCATGTTCCCCCTCGTCAACACCTACGGCTTCTCCAAACCCGCCGACTACCGCAGCCTGCAGTGCCCGGCGTGAGTGGGGCGGGTACCCCTGGACGAGCCCCTCCTGACAGCACGAACCCCAAAAACAGCGAGGACTTGGACTGGGAGGGGGCTGGGAAGCAGCGCTGGGATCGGGGAGGCTGTGGGCACATGTCCCCGCCGGGCTCTGACAGGTCACAGCCCGGTGGCTTTGTCCCCAGCCCGGGCACGGGATGTGCCCGTCGTGTTCAAAGCAATAGAAGGTGTTTGTTTGCTCAGCCCTTGGCCTCCCTGACCCTGCTGGCATAGTGCCGGTGCCCCCCCGCCCGGGCACTGCTCAGCTGGGGCCACACCCCGTCCCTGTCCCTGGGGGTCTGGTGCTGTTTGGATTCATACCCACAGAGCCCCCCCGTGGGTGGGCACAG